TCTCCCTCCGCATAATGGCTTCGTACTACAACGAACCTCCAACCACTCAGCTAAACCCTAAACCCTAAACCCCGAACCCTAAACCCTAAACCCTAAACCCGAAACCCTAAACCCTAAACCCTAAACCCTAAGTCCTAAACCCTAAACTACTCAGGTTTCGTTTTGGTGATCTCAAGGACAGAAAGAGCTGCTGGGCCTCGAGGGCTGCGACCTTCGGCGTGTGTCGGTCTCACATCCCAAAACAGGGGCCCCAACAACTACGGTTGATGATGTAAATCCTGCATTACCGAGAAAAAGGAATATACCATAATTCCCATAGTTTAGGGTCCTTAAGGTAATGCAGGATTTATATCATCAACCGTAGAATAGGTTAGAGGGGGCCCCCACCCTGCAATAGCGGTATAATAGGAATATAATAGATCCCCTAGTATAGTCCTTAACAGTCACTATTACAGGTTGGGGCAGCTTCTAAAGAATAGGATTCTGGGGCCCACTATAGTATAAATAAAATAATAAGGAACCCCAAAATAGTTTCAGGTAACTACAGTAAACTCCATAAAGTTGTTAACAGGATTAAGGCCAAATAGTGCTGGGATTCCCTATACAGTACTCTTAAGGACTGAAGCTATTGGGTTTCCAACTTTTTGGCTTCTACTGTATTTAGGCCCCCTATACTAGGCGGTTTTTCCCGGGCCCCGAAGTCCGGGCGGCCCAGCACCCGAAGGCGAGGGCTTATAGGCCCTAAACCCTGAAACCCAAACACCAAGCCCTGCGACCTGAATCTTGAAATCCCAAACTCCAAACCCTACCCATTAATTAGTCTCCATTGTAGTTCCTTTTTGTTGGCTCAGGATCCTATCATAGAGATATTGGTGACTACAGGCAAACCCTAAACCCTGCAACCGAAATGCCTGAAACACTGAACCCTGGGATCCCCACGCGTCGTGAACCCGCCGGAGTATAAATGCATCGGCTGCTCTTTGGCCGCCATGGCTCTGAGGTGCTTAGGCTTCGGGTATGACGCAACAGCGGTGGGTAGTTGGGGTGTGATACGGTTGATGATATAAAACCTGCATTACCCATAATTAGGAATATACCATAATTCCATTAGTTTAGGGCCCTTAAGGTAATCCAGAATTTACATCATCAACCGTAGTGCTGGTGTTGTTGTTCGGCTTGGGGTGTGGGGTCTGGGGTTCAGGCTTAAAGGTGCCGTGAGGCGGGGCTCAAGGGTTAGTAGGGTTTGGGATGGTCCGGGTCCATGGTTCGGATAAGATTGCAGCGGCTGCGCTCGAACTGCAGCTGTTCTTCTCACTGTCATGAAATATGACCATCCATAGACCCAAAACCTGAAGCCCTGAAGCCCTGAAACGGTTACGACCCTAACACCCGACGCCACAGGTCCAGAAGCCCAGAGCCCTCTGGCCTGACACTGCACCATATCCATCTATAGATGTATGGGTAGGCCGATAGACAGATAGATAGATATATAGTAAATTTTGTTTTGTATACATGCATGTGTTGCCCGTATTTGCGTACGCTCACTCACTCGCTCATAAACCTACTTATTTGACTGCACGTCTATGTACAACTGTTGGTATCTTATGCTTCGTCTCCGCAGTATTTATACGTTTGTGTGTGTATATATATATATATATGTGTGTGTGTGTGTGCTCATGTATGTGTAACTAAATCAACATACATATATATATATATATAGAATACATGCGTATACATTACACTTATTTATGTATTTATTGTACACGTGGACCACGGGTGTACCCATACCATACATGTACGAGTGATGCTCAGGTGCTTTTACACACTTGCTTGTTTACCGACATGATACCTGCAATGTAGGGGCCTAAATTTAATAGTTACCAATACTATTTTGGGGGTTCCGTGCTACAGCGACAGAAAAATGGGCCCCCAATCCTGATTCTAATCAAGGCCCCTATGTCAGACCTTTTTCCTTGAAGGCGCGGCAGCGAGGTTCGCTGGTTCCCAACGATCTTCTGGCGACTCCTACTGTGTTGTCCGGACCTTTCAACTCTCCCTCATGGGTTTGTTGGGATCTCTTTTTTGAGAGCTTCTTTCTATACGGCTTGTTGGTTTCTGGGTTTTGGGAGTAGTTACAGTTGAAACATGTTTTTGGGGAATTTAAGAAGACTTCAAGCTTAATCTTGCTGAGGCTTAGGTCAGGCTTCGGGCTTTCCACCCGTCCGAGGACCCGGACAGACTTTGGTATAAACGGCAAGTTGGCCATGGAAAACGATCTCTTCTGCGTCAGCCCGATCGCTTACTTCCCCAGCTCCCAAACTCTCTACTCCAAACCCCTGCCCCTAGACTGCAGACGCAAAAGCCTCTATCTTGGATCCTACTTGAAGGCTCATGGGACTTAGTAAGTAAGGTAATAAGTAGGTGATAATTAGGATAACCCGACTTAGGGGACTTGTAACCCCAACTAGAACCTACTTACTAAGTCCCATGATCCTCTAAGTAAGCCCTGGGCCGTCGATCCTCACACCTTAATCCCGAACGCGAAGCTTTAAACCTAAGCCCCGATCTTGGACGTGAAGTCGAGCCATGGTCTGATCTAGCAGTCGTACTTCTGTTGTTCTGGCAGTTTAGGGGTTGAGGGGTTTAGGGCTTAGGGGTGAAGATCATCACCCTTATCATTCTCAATATGGCCATTCTTCTAAGCTGTGGCACTTCCCGACACAGGCATGAATATGACCCACCACCACCATCCTGCGACACAGCCCACCACTCTGAACCCCTAAACCCTAGACCCTAATACCCTAAATTTCAACACTCCTTATACTATGTCTGGACCTGGCAAGTTTCCCCGTGCTGAGTAGTCAATTTAAGCCGCAGGTTCCACTCCTGGTGGTTGCCATCCGCTAATTCCTTTAATAAACATCAGCCTTGCGACCATCTTCCGCCAATTTCTTTAAGTTTCGACCTTGCGACCATACTCCCACCCAAGCGCCAAGAGCATGAGTCGAAACCACTCTGCGACGTAAAAGTAGGACGTAGCATGTGTGCACTGTCTCAGTCCGTTGAAGACGTGAGAAGTCTGGCCATCTTCGATGGTGCTACTGTTGATGATATAAATCCTGCATTACCGAGAAAAAGGAATATACCATAATTCCCATAGTTTAGGGTCCTTAAGGTAATGCAGGATTTAGATCATCAGCCGTACAGAGCCTTTCAACCAAAAGCTCCAAGCCCTCCCCAAGCAATCGGCCACGATGCGATTATACCTACATGGGACTTTCCGAACATCGGGGACCCACAAATAGTACCCTAAAGAGTAGGATCCTTATTTTAGAAGGGCCCCAAATAAAGTACCCTTAATTTTCGGAAACTCCCAAATACACCCTAAGCCCCTAAAACTCAACTCGGACTGATGCCAGAAGAGCGAAGTGAGCGATTGGTAAATATCTCGGGGATACCGCTGGAAAGTGAGAAGCCTCCTGCTGAAGTCTGTTTTGATTACTATCGCCACTACCGCACGTCCTCTAGACCCTAAACCCTAGACGCTAAAGCCCTCAACCCTAAACCCTAAACCCTCAAGCCCTAAACCCTAAACTCTATACCCTAAACCCTGGACCCTAAGTATAGTGAACAAAAAACAGAAAGCCATGCTCCGATAAGCACTACTACTTGGAGGCCCAGGGACCTGAGTAAGTAGGTTAGGGTTCAGGATTTAGCTAACCAGTGGTTTTGGGGCTCCCTTGCCTCTTTAGCTCCTTATTTAAAAGGGATTATCATCATCCCTGGCTCCTTAGATCCTCCAATATCAACGGTCAGTTAGTTATATAAAGTAGACGTATAAGTACGTACCCCAAGTGGAGTTACCCCAATGATAACCGTGCTTCTAACCGATTGGAACTCCAAGTAATACGGGACCGGAGCCTTTGACATTGATGTCCGACATGTCTTTATTCCTTTCGACATATACCCGTAGTTGCCAAGTCCAGTTTCCGATTTGCCAAAGCGTTTCTATCTGTATCTGTCTGGAACCCGCAGGATGCTCAAGAGGAAGACTACGTCTTCAGGCTTATCAGAGGTGGATGGTCGTCGGCACGAGCCTGCACTTGTCAAGGCAGTTCGCAAAATAGGGTGTTCTCCTCGAGTGCTCGACGCTATCAGCATAATATAGGGGCCTAAATAGTTACCTATACTATTTGGGTGGGTTCCTGATTGTACTTATCTATAGTATAATATACCCCCAAACCCTATTCAGTCATTAAGGCTCCTATATTGATCTAGAGTCTTTAGGTCTCCCTTGTGGCTTCAATAATTTGAAACGAAATCGTGAGATTCGTCGTTTCCTCTGCGCGCCTATTCAACCATCAACAGAATCCCGGAGTTATCAGTGCCCCAACTACCCCAAAACATTGATACGTAGGGATTGCGATGTAATCGTTTTGGATATGGTTTGAGGGCGGGTATCTGTAACCACAGGGCCAATCTGTCGAAGTTCTGTGCCTCGAACGCGAACCTCAATACAAGGAACTAAGCCCCCCTCACCACCCCGTCCAAATAAAAAGCTTGAAATCGAAACGCTTGCTAAAAACCGTTCCAGGAGGATCCAGCAGCTTGGTTGCGAAGAGCTTTCACATTCTCTAGGGGTCTGAACAATTACTATCATTTCGTTTTGGTTCCTAATTATGGCACTACAAATCTTGCTTTACTTATGAACAAGAATGCCTATCGTAGAGCGGTACTGCTCGAGAGCTTTAAGAAATCTTTCATAGGGTCTTGGATTTTTGGAGCCTTAAGGGTTTGGGCTCCCTTGCTTTAGGACTTTGGATTTTATCGTTCCAAGGGCTTCAGGGTTTTACCATCCCATCTTTAGGTCTGGATTTTGGAAGCCAAAACTACAAAATCTCTAAACCTTGAACCGCGAGGCTGGAGCCTTACACAAGTATACCTAGAAGGAAAAAGCTCGGAAAGCCTGGGTTCACTCCAGAACCACGCGCAGGCCTCTGCTAATCTCGCCGCTTTGGCGGGCTCGTGCAGCATTTAAAAGGATCCTGTTTGGAGGCAGGGGACTTCGTAAGTAGGATATAAGTAGAGTTATAAGAACCCTAAAAGGAGTTACCCCAGTTGTAACCCTACTTATAACCTACTTATTAAGTCCCCTGGCCCTCCAAGTGTCAGGTTCATCCGCATTCGGGATAGGAGTGCTTAGCGTTCACGGGGCACGGGGAGGGGGGGTTGTCCTAGTTGTGGATTGGCAAGGGGCTTGCGAACTGGGGTTTCGGGTACACCGTGCTGAGTCACGAGGCACGAATTCCTGCATGAACCGAAACAGCTCGACAAGTCTGAGGCATCTTATCTTCCAGGGCTGTATAAGAGAGAAACCACCAATCCTTCAGGCTGTTACGCCTAAGGGCCCGCTCACTGGCCTGCAACAGGTTCAACTTCCCGCGCCGTAGAAAAGCAATTATCAAAGAGCCTTGAAAGGAATCCTTAAAGGAACTCTAAATCCCAAAACCGAACAAGCCTTCATGTCGCTGACTTCTGACCATCTCCTAAACCTCAACTCCTGAACCCCCGACTGGCCCTGAGCCCCAAACCTCGAACCCTAAACCCGAATCCTAAACCCCTAAACCCCAGAAACCCTGAAACTTAAATCCTAAAACCCTGACTGAAACCCTAAAACAACCCTAGACCCTAAACCCTAAAACCCTAAACTAACCCTGCACCCTGAACCCTAAACGCTAAAACCCTAAACCGTAAAGTGAACTATACTGAACTTGGAACCCTAGCAAAAATTGTAATTGTAGCTGTTTCTTAGGGATTGTAATAACCAGAAATTAAACATTATTTCTAAGTGCCCCTAAGTGAAGCCTTCATGGCGCTGACGATGTTCTTCACGAAGCTCTTCTTCTGAGGTGGGTCGGAGCTCTCGGAAGCGCCGAAGCCGGCCAGACTCCTGGCTTTAGGGATATAGGGTTTAGGGTTTAGGGGTATAGGGTTTAGGGGTATAGGGTTTAGGGTTTAGGGATATAGGGTTTAAGGTTTAGGGATATAGGGTTTAAGGTTGAGGGATATAGGGTTTAAGGTTTAGGGATATAGGGTTTAAGGTTGAGGGATATAGGGTTTAAGGTTGAGGGATATACGGTTCAAGGTTGAGGGATATAGGGTTTAGGGTTTAGGGGTATATATGGTATAATATAGTACCAGATAATATGTCAATAGTTATAGTATAGTACAATATTAGTTAATGTCAGGTTTAGGGTTCAGAGTTTAGGATTGCGGCTTTAGTTTCAGGGTATAGGATTCAGGATGTAAGATTTAGGGTTTTTAGTGGAGGGTGTTTTTGAGATCTTCATTGACATGAAATGGCCGTAGATATGCAGGGGAACACGTAGTCCAGCTCGCACAATCCAACGAGGTGCCCACCGCAAGACTTGTTGCGAGTGCTCGCGCACCGGCAACCCTGGTGACTGCATTGGGCGAGTTCGACACGGCGTGGCTGAACGGAGCCCTGTCCACTTCGCAAAGTCTTGCATCTGAGGGGCTTCGGGTTCCCAGAGGGTCCATATACTCTACTATTATGGAATTAGGTTCAAAAAAAACCATAGTGGGAATGGTCTTTTGGGGCCTAGTTCCATAATGGTAGTGTATATGGACCCTTCTGGGGTTTATAATGTAGCACCCCAGGATGCCGTCAAGCGTGGCATCCTCAGCACCACCTTCCTGTGCCCGGGAGCCGCATCAGGGCGAACTTTTCCGCCAGCACATATCTCAGATGCTTCCTGCCCCCTGTTGCCGGCGTGATGGGCTAGGGTTTAGGCTTTGTTTTTTTGTTTAAAAGGGTTCGGGGTTTGGGGTTTAGTGTTCGGGGTTTGGGCTTTGGGTTTCGCATTGTTTGAGGAAGGATTCCTTTTAGGGTTGTATAATTAATGGATCATGGGAGTTAGTAATTACGGTTGTAAATAAGATAACTATACGTATAATCACTTATAACCCCAATTAGGGGACTTATAACCTTACTTACTAAGTCCCATGACCCTCTAAGCAAGGGTTCTATTGGAGTTTATGCAGGGTTCGAGGGCAGAGTCCAGGGCTTAGGATGGCCATCAAAAGCAACAACAGAAACAGTGCAGCTTCATCGTCAGGGTCGTACCACACATCACCAGAACCGCTGCTGTTTGCTTCTGTGCGCTACCAGGGCTCGACTGGCCACCGAAACTCTAAACTCACAAACCCGAAACTCCTAAAACCCCAAACCAAGGAACCCGTAAACCCCTAACTTATCCCCCAAACCCGAAACGCCAAAGCAGCCTCAGTCCAGTTAGGCGTTCGAAGAGCTGCTGGTGGATGCGGCGCTCCGAGTTCCAAATGGCGGCACGGAAGAGGTACTTCCTGAGTCAGCGGGTAGAACTTTCGCGTTTATAGGGTTTGGGGTTTAGGACCCTGAACCCTAAACCCTAAACCGAAGTTTAGGACTTCCTCAGTTCTCTGGGTGGTGCACGACGAGCTCAGGCTCGACCTCGAAACTCTCACAGCACGGCCTTCCGCCCGAACTCAAATCCCAAACTCGAAACCCCACGACTCCCGCGACCGCGAACCATCCGACCCCTCTGTTCCGTCGAGTCTCTTCCTTGATGGCAGGTGCCTGGACTCCGGCTTACCGTCTCTTCCTGAGCTGGGCTTCTTAAGGGCTTTAGGGGCTCGGGGGTTACTTTTTTCTAAGTGCAGCGGACTTTCGCTCGCACGGAGTTAAGGCTTAGGGTTTAGGGTTGAGGGTTTTAAGGGGGATTTAGAGGGCTAATTAGAGGGTTTAGAGAGCCTAGGGGCTGAAGCTGAAGGTATAGTTACACGGGTTATAAGGGTTTCGAGGTATAGTTGCAGTGGTTTGGCGCAGCATTCGGGGATTTCGAGTTTTGAGGTTGGTAGATTCTAAGGTTTGTGGTTTCAGCTACAGTTGTGAGGGGTTGCGGGCTGAGGGTTTAGAAGGCAAGGCCGCAGTTGCAGCACTCAAAACTCAAAATCTTCGTGGAAGATCGATTAACCCGAAGCAAGGGTGGAAGAAAAGGTGGGACACCCCAAAAATTAATGGGAGAAAGGGCACTACGGGGAGACCTGAATCCCTACTTGGAGGATCAGGGGACTTAGTAAGTAAGGTTATAAGTCCCCTAACTGAGGTTATAAGTAAATATAAGTATAGTTACTTTATTTATAAGCCTAGTTACTAAGTCCCATGACCCTTTAATTAAGTAGACCCTAAACCCTAAACCCTATAGATCCCTTTAAGGATCCCTTTAAGTAAGCCCCCGGAAAAACCCAAAGCGTCACATCCAAAGTCCTCCGCCCAAACCTGCTCAAAGTGTACGGACTGGCACTCCGAAACTTTGGGATCCACTTAAACAGGGTATAGGGTTTAGGATTTAGGATTTAGGGTTTAGGGTTTAGGATCTAGGGTGTAGGGTTTTGGGTTCAGGTTTTAGGGTCAGTTCAGGGTGTGGGGCAGGGTTTCTGGTACTCCAAGGGTGTAGCACTAAAGCTTTGAAAACTTTCCAACAACCCCCAACCCCTAAACCGCCCAAACCATAAACTCCAAACCCCACAGACCCTACCCACAAACCCCACAAACCCTACAACCGTGAACTCCTTAAGCCCAAACCCCTACACCCCGAAAGCCCGCTGTTGGACTGCAGCAAAGAGGCCAAGCTCTGTGGGCCTTGGGCGGTTTTAGGAGGGGGTTTAGGGTTTAGGGGTCATCGGGTGTAGGGTTTAAGGCTTACAAATGGTTGATGCGATTTAGTTTTGAAAGGGAGGCGTAGGTGTTCGGTGTCCAAGGGTTTGGAGTTTGGCGCTTTGGGGCTTAGGGCGTCGTGGTCGTGGCGAGGAGTTAATATAGGGGCCTTGATAATTAGAACAAGGCTTTGGGCGGGGTATCAAATTATAATCATAATCAGGAATCCCCCCCCCCAAAAAAAAATACGGTTGATGATATAAATCCTGCATGACCTTGAGGACCCTAAGCTACAGGAATTATGGTATATTCCTTATCATGGGTAATGCAGGATGGATATATATATATATATATGTATATATATACATATCATGAACCGTAGTATTGGTAATTATTCAAGCCCCTTCCTTTGTCAGGTATCCGGGGCGAGAGCAGCAAGGGTGTTGATGATGTTTGTTCCGGGCTCGGGGCTTTGAGCTTGGAATTTTGAGGATTCTCTTGAGGGCGACGGCGACAGAGGGGCCATAATGAGTAGGACAAGGCTTCACGGGATGGACTGTAGAATAAACCTCGAGAGCACATAATCGAATACTTAATACCAAGCTTCACACTACAATGGGGTTTAGGGTTTAGGGTTTAGGATCCCAAATTTGAAGACCCCATCTAACCTCGGAATTAAGCTCCTAAACTCCCAGCTGTATCCTGCGACCGACGGCCGAAACCACGAATCTCCGGAAAGCCCAACCCAAAGTCGCTAAGGACTCATACTCCAAGCTTCGGGCCTTAAGCTTCAACCGTGAGCGCGAAAGGCTACATACTACGGTTGATGATACAAATCTTGCAGTACCTTAAGGACCCTAAACTATGGGAATTATGGTATGTTCCTTATTATGGGTAATGCAGGATTTTGTCCATCAGCCGTACCTCTGGCCTACGGTTTAAGCTTCCAAAACCATGATCCTGAAAGGGATTCTCCTTCCCAGGCACGCAGACAGGGCGTAAATGACGGCATAGACTGGCGGCTGGCCTTGTTACTTCCGGGAGGGAAGGGTTTAGGGTTTGGGGCTACATGAGGGCGCAATAACATCCTTGAAGGGCTTGCCAGTGTTGCATAGACCTTACTATGCCGGAAGCCGTTATTAAGTTATAGAACAGTCTGATGAGTCGGTACTAAAGCTAACCGTAAGCCCTGAACCACCAAATCCTAAACCCCAAACCCTGATCCTTCAAACCCGAGCCCTAGACCGCAAGCCCTAAACCCGAAACTCCCTAACCCCAACCCCCAAACCCCAACCGGCTAAACCCCAAACCCAAGCCCCTAAACCCCAACCCTAAACCTCTAAACCCGAAACTCATAAACCCTAACTTTAAACATGGAACCCTCATGGAACCCTTCTAGAAGCCTCATACTGGGTTCTGCTTAAGGGATTTTAGGGTGTAGGGTTTGGGGAAGCCTCATACTGGGCTTGTGTTGAAGGAGTTCATTCAATTTACCATTATAAGGAAAACACATGATTTACGCTAGATCCCTATTATGGCAACTTCACTGAAGCCCCTTAACAAGAGCCCCTAATATCCTAAACCCTACACCCTAAAGGGACTACACGAGCCCAATATACTTGGAGGGCAGGGGACTTAGTAAGCAGGTTATAAGTAGAGTTATAAGTACCCTAAATGGAGGTACCCCAATTATAGCCCTACGTGTAGCCTGCTTACTAAGTCCCCTGGCCCTCCAAGTGGCCCCTAAACCCAAAGCCCCATAGATCCCTTTTAGGAACCCCAAAAAGATCCTTTTAAGGAACCCCAAAAAGATCCTTTTAAGGAACCCCTGAAAGATCCCTTTAAGGAATCCCTGAAAGACCCCTTTAAGGAACCCCAAAAAGATCCTTTTAAGGAACCCCAAAAAGATCCTTTTAAGGAACTCCACAAAGATCCTTTGAAGGAACCCCTGAAAGATCCCTTTAAGGAACCCCAAAAAGATCCTTTTAAGGAACCCCAAATAGATCCTTTTAAGGAACCCCAAGAAGATCCCTTTAAGGAACCCCAGAAAAATCCCTGTAAGGAACCTCAAAAAGATCCTTTTAAGGAACCCAAAAAAGATCCTTTGAAGGAACCCCTGAAAGATCCCTTTGAGGAACCCCAAAAAGATCCTTTTAAGGAGCCCCAAAAAGATCCTTTGAAGGAACCCCTGAAAGATCCCTTTAAGGAACCCCTGAAAGATCCCTTTAAGGAACCCCAAATAGATCCTTTTAAAGAACCCCTGAAAGATCCCTTTAAGGAACCCCTGAAAGACCCCTTTAAGGAGCCCCAAAAAGATCCTTTGAAGGAACCCCTGAAAGATCCCTTTAAGGAACCCCTGAAAGATCCCTTTAAGGAACCCCAAATAGATCCTTTTAAAGAACCCCTGAAAGATCCCTTTAAGGAACCCCTGAAAGACCCCTTTAAGGAGCCCCAAAAAGATCCTTTGAAGGAACCCCTGAAAGATCCCTTTAAGGAACCCCTGAAAGATCCCTTTAAGGAACCCCAAATAGATCCTTTTAAAGAACCCCTGAAAGATCCCTTTAAGGAACCCCTGAAAGACCCCTTTAAGGAGCCCCAAAAAGATCCTTTGAAGGAACCCCTGAAAGATCCCTTTAAGGAACCCCTGAAAGATCCCTTTAAGGAACCCCAAATAGATCCTTTTAAGGAACCCCTGAAAGATCCCTTTAAGGAACCCCTGAAAGACCCCTTTAAGGAACCCCAAAAAGATCCTTTTAAGGAACTCCACAAAGATCCTTTGAAGGAACCCCAAAAAGATCCTTTTAAGGAACCCCAAAAAGATCCCTTTAAGGAACCCCTGAAAGATCCCTTTAAGGAACCCCAAAAAAATCCCTTAAGGAACCCCTGAAAAGGAGCCCCCAAAACCCTACTTGGAGGATCAGGGGACTTAGTAAGTAAGGTTATAAGTGCACTAATTAGGGCTATGAGCAATTATAAGTATAGTTACCTTATTTATAACCCTAGTTACTAAGTCCAACGATCCTTTAAGTAAGGTTCTCCGGCCTATTAGCGGCTCGAAGTCATAAGGAGTCACGACCGGCACGCCCCGGAGCTTCCTTTGGAGCGAGGTTTAGGGCTTAGGGTCTCGGGATGAGCGTTGTAGGGTTTAGGGTTTAGGGTTTACCTTAACCCTGAAGAACCTACCTTTTTAAGGACTTATATATGAACAGCTTAATAAGGAGCCATAAAAAGGTAGGTTCTAGATGATTAAACGTAAGGTTTAGGGATTGCTTTAGGGTTTAGTCGCTTAGTTTTTGTTTGCTAGGGCCCTGCGCGCACCTGTTTTGCACACTTCGGCTCCGGCTAAAAAGAGGGATCTCGCACCAGCCGCGCAATTACTCTATGTCTTTCATGGGGGTTATTATGGCCAGCTGCGGCGTGGTCTCTGATTTGGGAAAAGTACCTGCGGCTCTTTTTCAGGGTTTTAGGGTTCAGGGTCTGTGGGTTTGGAGTATCGGGGTTTGGGGTTTAGGCCTTAGGGTCTGAGGTTTGGGGTTTAAGGTTAAGGGCTTATGGGGTTTAGGGTTGCGGATGAAGGTTTAGGTGTGTCAGGGCTTGCTGTCAAAGGGTTCTTTGGGCTTGTAGCGCTTTTCGGGTTTTTAGGCTACCTGGGACTTTTGGGGTTTAGGTCTAGACACGTCCATAGAGCTTGTAAAAGTTTGAAGCCAGAGGGTAGGGAACACATAGGGTTTCGGGTTTGGCCACAGTTGAGCAGACTCAGAGGGCAATGTTCAAGTTTCTCAACCTCTCAACCTTTTCTGTACTTACCCCACCGTTCCCTAAACCCCGAGCCTGCACCCTAAGCGATGTCTCAAATCGAATACACTCACCTTAGGGTACTCTGAGCCTAAACCTTGAGCCGCTTAAACCCTAAGCCCCGCACCTTAACAACAAACAAGAATCAACCCTCAGCATCTACGCCAAAATGCCTTGCTTTGGGTTGAAGCTAGTGAGGGGCCGTGATTGCTGACAAGGGCTTCTTTACAGAAGTCCATAGGTGCTTGCTGATAAACCTCGATGCCTCAACTTACTAACTACACTGTAAGCCCACAACTCGATTAACATGAACCCTGACACACAAGTCCCACATCCATAACCGTGCACCCCACAACTATGAACCTTCATGTTCCAAAACTCACAGCGACTGCAGCCAGGAGGCCATGTCATCCTGTTAGTGCTTGCTTGCTGTATCCGTTGATCGGGTCTTGAGGGGGCTTCGGTGTCTTGGGATTCACTACGGCGAGGCTTCAGGGCTCTGCCACCTAAGTTTGGGGCCTTCAGAGGCTCGAGCTTCATGCTCCTTGCAAGGACTTGAGGAACATCCGGGCCTTGCGGAACGATAGTGGAAACTAGTGGGGCCAGTCCTCGTCGTTATATCGAAAGCAGTGGTAGCAGTTGCAGCAGCAGAAGCAGCGACAGCAGCCGCAGTAGTAGTACAGTAGCAGTCACGGAAGTAGACACCAAAGACCAAGTCCAGGAACAACAGCAAAGGGTAGACGCACTAAGTCGCACAATTTAACAAGCCAAGTCTTACACAAACTTTGTAAGCCCTACCAGTAGGCTCCTGAGTAGCCCCTTGATCATAAGGGTACCCTCTCTCTCAATATTATGTTGTAATATGTATGGAGACTCCACAATAAAGAGGGCAAAAAGGTATGACTCCAGAAGCTAGAAGTCCACGAAACGCAACGTCGAACCCTAAACCCTAAACCCTAAACCCCTAAACCCCTAAACCCTAAACCCTAAACCCTAAACCCTAACGAAAGCGGCCCGCTCCGAGGCTCCGACACGTCCAGGAAGCGGCTGTTGCCCCAGAAGGCCAGGGTGTAAGTCGGACCTCTTCAGGGTTTAGGGTTTAGGGTTTAGGGTTTAGGGTTTAGGGTTTAGGGGTTTAGGGGTTTAGGGTTTAGGGTCTAGGGGTTTAGGTCTTCTCTCTGGTGCTTGCTTGGGAATGGGTTAGGTACTGCCCCCATACAGTAAGAGTCTATAATAGGGCTAGTATTAAAGTCCTAATATACCAAAAAAATATTACTCAACCATTACTGAGTGGGGGCCGTACCCAAGGAATGGGGGAAAGGATCCCTACAGTAGTCCCTACAAAATCCCCAATAATAGTCTCCATCATCCATTCCCCTATTGTAGGATAGTAGTCCCTACAAAATCCCCGATAATAGTCTCCATCATCCATTCCCCTGTTCACTACCAAGAACCAGACAGTCTTTTCAGTGTTGAGGGCTTAAGCTTCAGGGTTCAGGATGTTTCGGATAGGTTTTACAAGTTTGGCTGAAAGCCTAAAACAATATTTCACAAATCTTAAGGCCGGCGGGGGGGCTTAAGCTTCAGGGTTCAGGGATGTCTCGGAGACTTTGATGGGCGCGGCGCTATAAAAAGGATAGGGAGTCGAAGCCCAAGCCCAAAGCCTTTTGGACAGGGCTTGCGGTTTAGTGTTTAGGGTTTGGAGTTCTTTTGATGAAGTTGAGTTGACGTTTACGTCTGCTCGCAGTCGGGCTTGGAGTCCAGGGCTTAGGGTTTAAACCGATCTTCCCGACCTCACAGCTTCTACAGTAAACCCCATAAAGTTGGAAACCGGACTAGGGCCAAATAGTGCTGGGGTTCCCGATACATTACTCTTAAGGATTGAGGCTATCGGGCTTCCAACTTTTAGGCTTCTGCTGTAGACCTTCGCCGTAACTTATTATGGTAGGCTGAAGTCCTCCAGTCCTACACACCTCCTACCTGGGCTTTTCAGTAACCAGGGAGAACAAAGGTATACACTTTTATTTCACAAGGGTTCCTTTAAGAAAGAGCCCAGTTACGCCAATCCTAAACCGCTGAAGGTTACGGGCTTGCCTGGGCCCAGGTTCGCCACGAGGGCATCCATCTCTCTGATGTATTCCGCAATCCGGCCCTTCCTTTCCGACAGCACCGGCTTGGGGGTTTAGTGTCCTAGCGTGGGCTTTTTTTAGGGTCAAGGGCGTTTTGGATCTAGGTTTTGGGGTTTAAGGTTTGCGGACTGAAGGTCTCTTAGAGCTGTAAATTCTGTGGTACTGGGGCTGAAGGTTCAAGATACACGAGGGAGGTATCGGGCTCAAGCGCTTGGGGCGGGGCTGGAAGATGTGAGCTCAGAGACTATATTGCAGGCCTCTGCGTTATACTGTGGATGTACGCCTGCATGTATTTATGCATGTATGTAAGCAGTCATGCATGGATGTACGGATGCCTGAATGCATGCAAGAATGCGTGTGTGGATGCAAGGATGTACGCATGTGCGCATGAATGAAGGCATTCACACATGCACGCACGGACGGACGGATGGATGGATGGATGGATGGCGGGCAGACTAGTGCCAGGCTGGCTGGCCGTGTGGGTGGATGGCAGGCCGGGTGGTTGGGTGGGCATGGGTGGGCATGGGTGCCGGATGGCTGGATGGCTGTGTATGTATACATATGTTTTCATCATACTACAGCAAGCCGTACTTGTACAGAACACTACATAAAATCCTGCAAGACCCACGAAAACCCTGCAAAGTTACGTCCCTTTAATTACAGCAAGGAGCCCCAAAAGACAAGTATAAGGCACCTTGAAAGAAACAGCTAACCATAAATTACAGATTTCGTCAAGAGCGTTCAAAAATCGTGGGAACCCTTAACTATGCACCCTGAACCTTAATCTCTCTCTCTCTCTCTCTACCCTGACGAGTCTGAAACCCTAAACCCCACATTTTGAGACCTGAACCCTCCACCCTACACCCCGAACCATACACCCTGCAATCCGACACCCTCATCCCAAGACCCTGAACCCTGAAACCCAAAAAACGACATAAAACCAGCGTAGAAACCATCTTAATCGTATAGATCCATGGTCATCTAGAACCTTCTAGCGCCTGAAAGTCCTGATGCGGAACCCTTATAATAGTCCCAGAGTTCCTCCGTGAATAAAGAACCATTAAAAACACGTATACTAAACCCTATAACCCCTAGAACCTTGCAGCCCTAAACCCTAAAACCCCAAAACCCCAAAACCCTAAGCCTTAAAAACCTGTAAAACCCTACAGCACTGAAGCCCTAAACTCCTAAAACCTAAAACCCTTTACCTAAAACCACCCTAAAATCCTAAAACAATCCTAAAAACTTAAAAACCCTAAAAGACCCTAAAACACCCTAAAAGCCCGACAAGGCCCCAAAAGCCCAAACCCTGCAGCCGACGTCCCGCCTTCGGCTGCCGTACTCGGGGAAGTCGGGGCTCGTGAGCTCGGGTGGCTCTTCCCCAGCCGGCCTCTGTGGGAGAGGACTTTTTGGGGTTCCTTAAGGGGATCTTTTTGGGGTTCCTTAAAAGGATCGTTTTGGGGTTCCTAAAAGGGATCTTTTTGGGGTTCCGTATAAGGATTTTTTGGGGCTCCTTAAAAGGATCTTCTTGGGGTTCCTTAAATTAAAGGGATAGTTTTGGGGTTCCTTAAAGGGATCTTTTGGGGGTGCCTTAAAGGGGTCTGTCTTTTTGGGGTTCCTTAAAGGGATCTTCTTGGGGTTCTTTAAAGGGATCTATAGGGTTCCTTAGAGGTATCTATGGGTTTGGGGTTTAGGGTCTACTTGGAGGGCCAGGGGACTTAGTAAGTCCTTTATAAGTATGGTTGTAATTGGGGCAACTCCATGTAGGGTACTTATAACTCTACTGATAACCTACTTACTAAGTCCCCTGCCCCTCCAAGTACCTTTGAAGGGATCTGGCACCGGGACAAAGGCCTCCGACACAGCGGCCGACCAGGGGTTTAGGGCTCCTTTAAAGGGATCTATAGGGGTTAGGGCTCCCTGAAAGGGATCTATAGGGGTTTAGGGTTCCTTTAAAGGGATCTATAAGTTTCAGGGATTAGGGTTTAGGGCTTGGGATAATGTTTTTGTGATCGACAGGAGGCTTTAGTATGGCCTTTAGAGTGTTTTATGAGACTCTTTGGGATTAGGCGTTTGCTTTAAACTATGATGGCGGACTTTTTTCTGTGGGAATGTGGTTTAAGATTATAAAGGGTTTAAGGCTCATAGGGTTTAGGGCTTTGGGAGTAGGGGCGTAAAGGGGGCTGTGTACGGCGTTTAGCCAGTTTTATGGGATTAGGGTTATGATGGCGGACTTTTCTGTGGGATTGGCGTTTAGGGCTTCTAAAGAGCTTAGGGGTTAGGCTTTAGGGCTTTGGGGGTAGGGCTTCGGGCTTGGGGTTTAGGGCTTTGGGATTAAGGGCTTAGAATGGTTTTTGTGGAGCGTTTAGTAGCGAGTTTCTACGGGGGCTTAGCATATATAGGGCTTTTCGCGTTTAGAGTTTACTATATAGGGTTCTACCACGGTGCTCCAAGGCTTAACTAGGGCGGGGGTTGCAGGCAGAACAGATGCTTGACGCCACAAGGGCTGACTTCTTCACTTCACTTCGCTGCATAAAGGTCTAGTCCTGCGCAAGTAAAGAGCGGCCTCAAAAGTTTTGACAAAGTTAAGAAACCCTAAACCCTAAACCCTAAAACAGACCTGGAAAAGGGAGACAACAGCTCCAACTTGCAAAGGCGAGACAACGGCACACCTACAGCCTGCGGGTATCAGATGTGTTTTAAGGAGTGTCAAGGTTCAGGTTCTAGGGTGTAAGGGAATTTGGGAGTTTCCGAAAAATAAGGGGCCCGAATAGAGTACCCCAAATAGTAGGATCTTTGGTATAAGGACCCCAAAGCAAGTTACCCTAATTTTCGGAAACTCCCATTTGTGTCTGCGTGCAGCTCAGGGCTGAGGCAAGGATGCTTGGAGTTCGATGACTGTAGATCCACCCTAAACCCTAAACCCTAAAGTTTAGGGCTTAGGGTTTAGGCTTTCGGGGAAGTCAGGTAAGGTTAGGGTTAAGGTTACAAACGACAAGAGCCACTGCAGGATTTTGCCCGCGTGAGACACCTAATCTCAAACCTCTCTGCTTATACTGCAAACCCAGGACCCTAAACCCTAAACTATACTGAACTTGGAACCCTAGCAAAAATTACTATTTTAGCTGTTTCTTAGGGATTATAATAGTCAACAATCCAAATATATTTCTAAGTACCCCTAAGTGACCCCTCAACACAGGCGAGTTCATCTCAGACTGAGCAGTCTGCGTGATGATAAACTGATCGAAGGCCCAAAGCGGCAGAACCTTGCTCGAAGATGGTTCATTGTTGAGGGTTCGGAGGGTTTAGGGTTCAGGGTTCAGGGTTGAGGGTTCATGATCGAAGGTCTGTGGGGTTTTAGGGATATAGGGGCTTTGGATTTCGAGTTGAGGCCTTCGGATGTCTGGCTTTTGGGCTTAAAGGTCCAGGATTGCTCCACACCGCCAGACACTAACCAGCGGAGCCCCACCCGCCGGGGGTCTCACCACTGTGGGTCGCTCCACTTCCTCGCCGTCCCGGGCTTTGACGGGGTCGTCGCCCTGCCTCGGGCGCAGCACGGGATAAAGTTTTCTTGAAGCTCCTTTTTTCCGTCTGCAGCGTTTAGGGTTTAGGGTTTAGGGGGCCTTCATAATGAAGATTATAGTATAAGTATATGGGGAACTATCAGGGCATAAAAATCATGATTTGAACAGGGGTTTGTGGTTCGTCATACTATCAGTAGATAGGAAACTATAATAAGTGCATAATACTGCTAACTATTCTGGATCCATGTGGGGGTTTCCGAAAGTAGGGGACCCTAATATAGCACCCTAAATAGCAGGATCCTTTTCATAAGGAACCCAAAATCAGGTACCCCTAATTTTCGGAAGCTCTAGAACCCTAAACCCTAAACCGTGTATAGAACCGCTATAGATCCCTTTAAGGAACCCTTAACAAAGGATCCCTTGAAAGGTACCCCACCTTATGAGCCGTCCGTTCCGGGTTTGGGTTCGAAGGCTTCCCTGGCCTCTGGCCTTCGGAGCTTGCCTTAGCCTACCTAAACCTACTTTTGTGTAGCTTCCGACTATGAACCCTAAACCCTGTTTAGGGTTTAGGGTTTAGGGTTTATGGGGACCCTGCAAACAGTAGCTTCTCGTAAGTTGAGGTAGGGCTTAGGGCTTGAGTGCTTTTGGCCTGCCAGGCACTTGCTCGAAACGCACGTCGCCCCTTGCTGCAGCCGGGTCGCGTGTGGTAGACCCCTCCCAGAGCCTCTCCAGAAATCGGAGTTTCCGAAAATCGGGGTGTATTTTATGGTTCCTTTAAAGGGTCACTATAAGGGTACTATAAGGGTTCCTTCAAAGGGCTCTACAAGGGTTCAGAGTCTCCGGAAATTAGGTGTACCGTACCTGGGGTCCTTATACTAAAGATCCTACGATTTAGGGCATATACGATATTAGGGCCCCCAACCCTAAACCCCAAACCCCAACCCTAAACCCTAAACTCTAAACCCTAAACCCTAAACCCCAACCCTTCAAACCCTAAACCCTAAACTCTAAACCCTAAACCCCAACGCTAAACCCTTAACCCTAAACCCCCACCCCCAACCCTAAACCCTAAACCCTGAACTCTGAACCCTAAACTCTAAACCCTAAACCCCAACGCTAAACCCTTAACCCTAAACCCCCACCCCCAACCCTAAACCCTAAACCCTGAACTCTAAACCCTAAACTCTAAACCCTAAACCCCAACCCTTCAAACCCTAAACCCTAAACTCTAAACCCTAAACCCCAACGCTAAACCCTTAACCCTAAACCCCCACCCCCAACCCTAAACCCTAAACCCTGAACTCTAAACCCTAAACTCTAAACCCTAAACCCCAACCCTTCAAACCCTAAACCCTAAACTCTAAACCCTAAACCCCAACGCTAAACCCTTAACCCTAAACCCCCACCCCCAACCCTAAACCCTAAACCCTAACCTCTAAACCCTAAACCCCAACCCTAAACCCTAAACCCTAAACCCTAAACCCTAAACCCTAACCTCTAAACCCTAAACCCCAACCCTAAACCCTAAACCCTAAACCCTAACCTCTAAACCCTAAACCCCAACCCTAAACCCTAAACCCTAAACTCTAAACCCTAAACCCCAACGCTAAACCCTTAACCCTAAACCCCCACCCCCAACCCTAAACCCTAAACCCTAACTTCTAAACCCTAAACCCCAACCCTAAACCCTAAACCCTAAACTCTAAACCCTAAACCCCAACGCTAAACCCTTAACCCTAAACCCCCACCCCCAACCCTAAACTCTAAACCCTAAACTCTAAACCCTAAACCCCAACCCTTCAAACCCTAAACCCTAAACTCTAAACCCTAAACCCCAACGCTAAACCCTTAACCCTAAACCCCCACCCCCAACCCTAAACCCTAAACCCTAACCTCTAAACCCTAAACCCCAACCCTAAACCCTAAACCCTAAACCCTAAACCCTAACCTCTAAACCCTAAACCCCAACCCTAAACCCTAAACCCTAAACTCTAAACCCTAATCTCTAAACCCTAAACTCTAAACCCAGAAGCTCCCAAATGGCTCCAGGAACGCGGATCTCCAGCTTTGACTAACGATCCGAATCCCTCCGCCTTAAACCCAGAGAGCCCAATACCCTTAATTAAGGAATATACCTTAAATATAAGGGGATTGATATTGCGGTTTAAGCTATATTCCTTAATTAAGGGGTATTGGGCTCTCTGGGAAGACTCTACTATCCGCAGCTTACGAAGAATTACTTAAAGGGATCTAGAAGGGTTCCTTAAAGGGATCTATAGGGTTTAGGGTTTAGGGTCTACTTAAAGGGTCATGGAACTTAGTAAGTAGGGTTATAAATGAAGTAACTATACTTATAATTACTGATAACCCCAATTAGGGGACGTACAACCTTACTTACTTTGAGCCCCTCCGGTTCTTCAGAATGGATGATAGGACGGACAGCCATTATGATCGAACGATTCCGTCTGTTGCTCAGTTCTGTTGAACAAGACACCCAACATCACCACGCCTCTGCTGATCACGGGTTTACGTTGGCTGTCATCTGATCTCTACATGGGTGGGGTTCTGGTTTGGCTGTGAATGTTCATGTTACTTAGGGATGATTACGATCTCAACCCTCAACCCCGACAGCTCAGAAACAATACTTAATTAGCAAGTTCTTCGGGATAGATGTTATCTTGCTTCAAGGTCTATAGATTCTATACATAGATGTGTACCAACTTTCCGGAACCAGTATCAGCAGTTTCTCCTAAATCCTGAAAATTCTGACTGGCCTGCCGGATGGCCGCCACGGAAAGCTGCACGACCCGCTTGGCCGCAGCGGGCAGGTGCACGTACTCCTGCAGAACACTTCGGCTTTACGGCTCGGGGGGCCATTCAGTCTACCCAGAGGCCCCATAGTAGTTCCTTTTAGGGATTACCTTGTAGGATTCTATATATGAACCCCAAAAAGGGACTACTATGGGGACTGTGGCTTGGTTTCGCAGTAGCCCCCATGAAGATAAGGGCACCCTTTTCTCCTACCATTCGGCTTAAAATACGCGAACCTAAAACAAAGTGCAAAAGGGTTACTGGGCTCGAATATTGACTTCTAGGAATTCTGGGATCTAGCGGGATTTTGGTGGAAGGTTTAGGGCCTCCTACATAAGTAAAGTTCGGGATTGTAGGGCCCAGGGGTCTATTGCGATTTCTTGTTTGAGTTTGGGGTATCGGGCTCTTTTTGTTTCGGATTCGGGTCGTTTTGAGCAGGTTGCAGCACACTGTGGGCTGAAGGTTTTAGTTGCAATCTATATACCCCTTTGTGCATCGAACTATGCTGCCCTCTGTTGGCCGCATGCTACCGTTGCCCTGATCATCTCACTGCCACAGTACATGTTGCGCCACTGATACGACTGCGAACACGACTTGTCTACTAATTGTGGTCTTGGTTATCTTCCTGCAACATAATGACCTACCTGGTGCCGATTATGTTTCCGACCTCTGCTGTTTCTGTAATGTTCAATGACACTGTTGCTTTTGGTCGTCCGACCCCCGAACCCTAGAAAAGTCCATAATCTGTACACTCCCGTCTAACTATCAAGGGGTTGCGCAAGGGAAACCATGTGCCGGTCATAAGCATGCCGGCACTTTCATGGTCAGCATTCTGTACTTAATGCACCGCTTACAACTGCATATGCAAACGCTGCATAGAGAACAAGTGCTAGAGCCCACCTGCCTACTTCTCCCCATGCGAAGTATCCACATTTATATCACCCTAAACCCTAAACCCTAAACCCTAAACCCTAAAGCCTAAATTATATCAGCAATTGAACTGTTCCCATGACTGGTGCTTGTGGACGAAAGATCAAGGGTAAGTCGCCTAACCCCTCCGCGTCCTCCAGCTCAACACCGAAATACAGGTCTCTGCCTCAGCCATTCAGGGAGTGGAGCCTAAACCCAAAACCCTAAACCCAAAAATCCAAAACCCTAAAACCCTAAAAACCTAAACCCTAAAACCCTAAAACCCTAAACCCTAAAACCCTAACCCGAAACCCCAAAACCCCAAAACCCTAAAACCCTAAAACCCTAAAACCCTCAATCCTAAACCGTAAACCCAAATCGACTTAGAGGATCAAGGGACTTAGTAACTAGGGTTATAAATAAGGCAACTATACTTAGAATTACTGAAAACCCCATTCAGGAGACGTATAACCTTACTTACTAAGTCCCCTGATCCTCCAGGTACAGCCCGAAGACGACACCGAACATTCACAATTGCTCGGCTTTAGTGTTTAGAGGGTTTAGGGTTTAGGATTGAAGGTGTAGGATTTAAGGTTTCAGGGTTAAGGGCTTATAGGGTTTAGGGTTCGGGGTTTAGGGTTACGGATTTTAGGGTTTAGGGTAAAGGGTTTAGGGTTTGGGGCTTAAGGTTCAGGATTTCGGCTCCTGTGTCGGAGGGGGGCTCCAGGGATGAAACCAGAGGGCCAGATTGAAATTTCCAGAGATCCCAACACCCCTTAAGTACGGAATATACCTTAAATCATAATACCAAAGCCCCTATAATTCAAGGTATATCCCTTACTTAAGGGGTATTGGGTTCTCTGTGGATTGCAAATCGGAGTCAGGGGATTTAGACATCCCCCGCTCCAACAGTTTCAAGATCTGCCAGGTTTAGTTTTTACGAGTTCAGGTGTTTAGGGTTTATCGGGACTATAGGGTCTATAGGGTTTATATAGGGTTTATAGGGCTTATACGGTTTGTCGGGCTTAAAGGGTTTAGGGTCAAAGTACCTGTTCGGATCTCAACTGCCATCCGGGATGCTACAGAGGGACGTCTTGATGGTGAACTGCATCCTGCACCGATCCACGCGAGTCAGGATAAGAGCTCTACTGCCACTTCAAACTGGCTTTAAGGGTTTAGGGCACACATTTTGCGCTATCGCACTGACTTGTGCCTTGGGAGCTGATAGGGGCGTGACGAAACTTGCTCCCTTCCCGAGAGCCCAGAACACCCCGGGTTTGCCAAAATGGAGCAGCATTTCGGAGAAAGGAAGCTGCCGGGTGCAGAAGAGGGACCATCATGCTAGAGCAGCCCGACATCGTAAACATCGTGTGCATCGACAGCTTTTGTGTTAACAGGCAAAAATCGGCACCAGAATGAACCTGAAGTAATGTAGGGGCCTTGCTACTTAGAATAGGGCTAGGGCTCTGGGGTATATATTATGGTGACAAAAAAGGAGCCACTCAAAATAGTATAGGTCTTTATTATTAAGGCCCCTATCTTGGACTCCCTACGCCCCGAACTCCAAAGGCTCCTCATAACCCGAACCATCCCCAAACTAATCAACCAAAGCCCCAAAAACCATAAAGGGAACTCCAGAAAGTTGGAATATGGATACCTTATAATTAGGATGTAGGGTTTAGGGATTTAGGGTTTAGGGCTCTAAAGGGAACTCCAGAAAGTTGGAATATGGATTCAGGGTAGGATACCTTATAATCTACCATAAAGGGCTTAGGAGAATCATATTCCAACTTTCCGGCTTCTACTGTACACCCTGAGAGCCAGAACCAAAGCGAAACATCAATTGAACCCATAAACCCGCAATACGGTTGATGATACAAATCCTGCATTGCCCATAAGGAATATACCATAATTCCCATAGTTTAGGGTCCTTAGGGTAATGCAGGATTTATATCATCAGCTGTATTCTACAGAAGAGTAAGGTTATAAGTAATTATAAGTATAATTACCCTATCTATCACCCCAATTACGAAGTCCCATGATCCTTTAAGTGGCTTCCCATTCGCACCTCAACTCCCATAGTCCTGGCCAAAGCAGAAGACACAGAGATCCGGGTTTCGGAGGATCTGGAGGTTGAAGTTTACTTAAAGGAACATGGGACTTAGTTCAAAGGGCCCCTTAAAGGGTTCTATAGGGAGTTAAGGCTACTTAAAGATTCATGGGACGTAGTAGCTTTCAAGGAACCCTTAAAGGGTTCCTCAACGGGATCTGGAAGGGATCTACAAGGGTTTAAGGCTACTTAGAGGATCATGGGACGTAGCAACCAGGGTTATAAATGAGGCAACTGCACTTACTTGAAGGATCATGGGAATTAGTAACTAGGGCTATAAATAAGGTAACTATACTTATAAATACTTATAACCCCAATTAGGACACTTATAACCGTACTTACTAAGTCTCCTGATCCTTCAAGTAGAACTACTTATAACCTGACTGAGGCTACTTACAACGTTACTTACTAAGTCCCCTGATCCTCCAAGTATGGTATTTAAGCGTGTCGGGTTGAGGGGTTTGGGATTTTGGGCTGAGGGATTAGGGGGTTTCGGGCGGTTTTGAGTTTTGAGTTCAGATCTAGCCGGGTTCGGGCTTGAGGCTTGGAAGGGTTCGGGCTTGAGGCTTGGGATGGTTTAGGGTTTAGGGTTTACGGGAGGGTTTGGAATTGGAGCGCTTTGGAGATACGGCTTGAGGAGATTTTCCCTGGGGTCCTCCATGGGCCTCCGCAATAAGAACTACAAATGGTATCGTACTATTTGCAGCTCTTGAAGGACCCCTAAACCCTAAACCCTAAACCCCAAACCCCTAAACCCCAAAACCCTAAACCCTAAACCCTAAACCCTAAACCCTAATTAGTTAAGCCCTGGGGCTCCGGAAAGGATTCCTGAATGGATCCCTTAAAATAGCCCGTAAGCGGCGTTTATGAATCGGGGGTCTATATTAAGGTGCACCGCCGCTGTGTAGAAGACAGCACATTGCAGCAATCTTCGAGGAACGTAGTCCCTAAACACTAAACCCTAAACTGATCCCTAAGCCCTAAACCCTAATCCCTAAACCCTAAAACCTAAACTGATCCCTAAACCCTAAACCCTAAACTGATCCCTAAACCCTAAACCCTAAACTGATCCCTAAACCTGTAAGCATCGTCAATTCGACAATTCACCTGGCCCTAGCAGCTTAAACCCTAAAGGCACCCGAAACATACCCTAAACACTGAACCAGCGATCCAAACCCAAAGCCTACTTGAAGGCTCATGGGACTTAGTAAGTAAGGTTATAAGTAGGTTATCATTAGGATAACCCCCACTTAGGGGAGTTATAACCCCAATTATAACCTACTTACTAAGTCCCATGATCCTCTAAGTAGACCCTAAACCCTAAACCCCATAGATCCCTTTAAGGAACCCTATAGATCCCTTTAAGGAACCTACGTACTAAGTCCTACGATCCTCCAAGTAGAACCCTTAACCAGACGACCCGAAACCCAAGAGCCCAAAAACCGAAACCCTCGAACCCCCCCTCAACGAAGGAGCTCACCAGTTCGAGGGTTCCAGGCATGTCCACCCTCTACTTAAAGGATCATGCGACTTGGTAACTAGGGTTATAAATAAGGTAACTCTTATAAGGGTTCCTTGAAGGGATCTATAGGGTTTAGGGTTTAGGGTCTACTTAAAGGATCATGGGAATTAGTAACTAGGGCTACAGATAAGGCAACTATACTTATGAATACCTATAACCCCAATTAAAGGACTTATAACCTTACTTACTAAGTCCCCTGATCCTCCAAGTAGCCCAAGCTATCAGCCGCACATCTGAGCGATTGTTTGGGGTAGGGTTTACGCCTTAAGGTTCAGGGTTCCCTAAACCCTAAACCCCTAAACCCTGGGTTTTGGGCCTCAGGCAATGTAAACTTCGGAGTGATGAGGATCGGGGCTGACAGATGCACGACACCGCGTCTCAACCAAATACCACGGGCTCCGGACGCTAATACTTCGAAACCCGACCTATTTTTCGGATTTAACCACAATGCCCGAAACTTCAAACCCTTAACAAACCCCAAACGCCAAAACTTTAACCCCAGAAGCAAATCTCAAAAATCCAAACCCAAACTCCAATCCCCAAGCCCGAAAACGTAACGCCCAGGCGACGTGTCTTCCCGCGGAAATATTCAGCGAAGTCCTTCAAGTGTCGGTATCCGGTTTTATCCTTTGTAGGGTTTACCAGTTTGTGGTAGGGTTGGGGCTGGGCAGGAAGCTGATTGCAGGTTTAGGCTGTAAGGTTTTGGCTTCAGGCCTTCGGGTTGCGGATTGAAGGGTTTGGCCTCTGCAAACGTATGTCACAGAGGAGTGAACCTAGCAAACGCCAACCCGAACTTCGTTTTCAGGCTTGGGTATTCAATGTTGAGGCTGTTGGCTGTAGGGTTTCGGCTTTGGTGTTGCCGGTTGAGGGCTTAGGGTTCTGGGCTGTAGCGTGGAAGGCTGCAGGTTAAGTGTCAAGAGTTGACCCTATAGACCCTAAACCCTATCTCGGGGCACGAAACCCTGAACCCTATCCCGGCCGCACCTCCGAAGCCTAAACAACAGCACCCGCGAATCGGCCGTCCCCCACCCCCAGCTGCACCGAGAGAGCACCGTACCCCGAACCGGTTTGGAGTTTGGGGCTTCAAGCGTTTTAGGGTATAGGATGTAGGGTAACGGCTCAGGAACCGTACACAGGTTGAGAGTTCAGGGTTTCAGAGCCAGGGTTCAGGAACCCTGAGCCTCGAACCCTAAAGCAAACCTTCAAGTGCTTAAAAGGACCTCAAGAACCTTAAAACCTCAAAGCCTAAACCATACCTTCAAGAGCTCAGGAACCCTAAACCCTAAACCCCAAACCCTAAACCCTAAACCCCAAACCCTAAACCCTAAACCCCAAACCCTAAACCCTGAACCCCAAACCCTAAGCCCTAAACCCTAAACCTCAAACTCGAAAGCGAACTTTCAAGAGGAGCCCTAAGTCTGACACCCCGAAGCGAACCTACAGGGATTCAAGCGTTGAGGAACCCTAATGTAGGAACCTGGTTAAGAAACCTTGGGCCGTTATAAGGGTGCCTTTCAAGGGGTCTATAAGGGTTACTATAAGGGATCTATGAGGGTACTATAGTAATGTAGGAACCTGATGAAGAAACCTTGGGCATTTACTCGGGTTCCTTTTCTGAAGCCTACTATTTTGGGCTTACAGGCTTTCTTCATCAGGTTCCTACATGAGTACACCTCAAACCCTGGAAGAAAGCCTTAATGAGTTGAGAAGTCATTTTGCCCCGGGCGGGTCCAGACCGCCAAGGGCGCCCCGAGGTGCGCGGCCGTCGGTTGGCGGGTGGAAGAAGAAGTAAGCTGAGCGCGCTCATATCACTTGTTGGGGGCGGACATCTCACAACCCTAAGCCCTACTAAACCCTTAAGCCCGGTAACCTACTAAACCCTTCAGCCCGGTAAGCCCTGCACTCTACACCAAAAACCCTCTACCGCTACAGGTCCGATACGGAAACTGGCACCTGGGTTCGGATTTCAGGGTCTCGAGCTTGAGGGTGTTTTAGCGTCTAGCGCTTGTGGACTTGCGGTTCAGGGTTTCAGGGCCAGGGTTTTAGAGTTTGCACCTCACAGCCGCAACGTGAAAAAAAGAAGCCTTAGCGGCAACGGCCTTTGAAATCAAGCCCTTGCAGCATACACCCCCTTAACCCTGATATGCTGAGCTAAATCCCAAAGCCTTAAACCCTAAAGCCTAAAACCTCAAACCCCTTTAAAGTCCTAAACCCCTGAAACCGTAAACTCCGAAACCCATTGACCCCAAACCCTAAGCTTTGAAACCCCTCAACCAGCCTTAAACCCCTAAACCCCTAAAACCCCAAACCCTAAACCCTAAACGCTAAACCCTAAACCTCAAACCCCTCAACCCTAAACCCTAAACCCTAAACCCCTAAAAACCCCTAAAACCCCTCAACCAGGTGCCCACTGAGCGGCTGCCCCTGCACAGCTCCGTCTCGAAAGCAAAAGGCTCCTTGCACGGGGCTTAGTTTAGGGCTTTAGGGGTTTAGGGGTTTAGGGGTTTAGGGGTTTAGGGTTTAGGGTTTAGGGTTTAGGGTTTAGGTTAGATCTACCCAGAGAGCCCAGCCCAGTACCCCTTAATTAGGGGATATACCTAGGGTTCCTTTAAAAGGGATCTATAAGGGATCTATAGGGATTAAGGTTTCCGATACCCCTGAATTAAGGAATATAGCTTAAATCATAATATGAATCCGCTTATAATTTAAGGTATGTTCCTTAATTAAGGGGTATTGGGCTCTCTGGGTATAGAGGCGCAGAGGCCGAATCTCCCCCACTAATGTAGGGGCCGCAATTATTAGAATAGGGTTTGGGGGGTTCCTAGGCCCTATATTATACTAAGGATGATGGGCCTCAACAGACTTCATCCAGAGGTCGAAGCTGCGAAAGCTTCTGGGGTTAAGGGTTCATTGTAGAAGGTCGGGGCTCTTAAGCCGAACAGAAGCAGCTTTGATGCTCCGGCAATGGAAGATCGGAAAGACCCCAGAAAAAAAAGAAATAAAAAACAAACACATTGCTTCCGGACATTCTATAGCAAGATTGTAGAGGTACTTCAATGGGATAGCAAAGAAGCAGCAATATGAGCTAAAAGCAATAGCAGTAGCAATATACGCTAAAAGCAATAGCAGTAGCCATGTAAGCTAGGAGGGTGGGCAGAGCTAGGAGGGTGGGCAGCTTTCAATAGCTTATCATCAGCAATCCTAAACCCTAAAACCTAAACCCCGTAAACACCTCGTCTCCGTGGTGTTCGGCTGTCCTCCGGATTGCTCCAGTGAAGCCCAGAGGGTGGATCCAGTGCAATCTCCAGTTTCCTTGGCTCGGGGATTCGGACCGTCACATACCTAGGATGCCCAGTAGCCTAGGCATAAAAAGGCCTCCCTTTTTGGAACTGGGTACCTTTTGAAGGAACCTAGGACTGCAAAAAGGGAATAAGGGTACTACTGGGCATCCTAGATACCGATTGGGATGCTTGCAGTTTAGGATTTATAGGGCTTCTACTTAAAGGATCATGGGACTTAGTAACTAGGGTTATAAATAAGGTAACTAGACTTATAATTACTTATAACCCCAAGTAAGGGGCTTATAACCATACTTGCTAAGTCCCCTGATCCTCCAAGTAAGGCTTCAGGTTTGGAGACTCTCAGGTTTCAAGTTCGGATCTCTACTTGGAGGGGCAGGGGACGTAGTAAGTAGGTTCTAAGTAGAGGTATAAGTAATTATCCTAGATGAAGTTACGCCAATTATAACCCTACTTATAAACGACTTACTAAGTCCCCTGCCCCTCCAAGTAGGTCAAAGGTTGAAGCTTTAGTGTGTAGTCTTGGTTTCAACTTGGGACTGCTCTGAGGCTTCGCACAAGAAGCCGAAACCCTCCAGTAGTCCTAATATAGGGGCCCTCATAATTAGAATCGCGTTTTCGGGCCCATTATCCTATAATAATGATAAGGAGCCTCCAAAATGGTATAGGTAATTGTTGACGCCCCTATAGTAGTCCTAAGCTCTTGTTTGGGAGTGCCAAGCGCCGCCGACTGTCCTGGAAACCTCGAACAGCACTGATCTCCTATGTTGCCCTAACCCCTAAAGCCTAAACCCGAAACCCTAAACCCGAAACCCGAAACCCTCACCCCACGATGAATCAGGCAGGCTCGGCCGATGAATTTCACACCAAACCCGAAGCTGTGAAGACCCCCAAACTCCTAAACACCCCTTGATCCCCTGATCGCCTTCTTCCCCTGAAAGCCCTGAACCCTACATCCTACACCCTCAACCCTCAACCCTAACCCAAAACCCTTAAACGCAAAACAACCCAAAACCCCAAAACCCCTAAACCCCTAAACCCCTAAACCCTAAACCCCAAAACCCCTAAACCCCAAAACCCAAAATCCCCTTAAAGGAACCCTTAGCCCCTGTAGATCCCTTTAAAGCAACCCTAAAGCCCTACAAAGTGAACTCAAGAGAGCCGAAGGGCTTCCCAGGAGGTATCTGGCCTGCCACCCCCATGTGCTCCAGGCCCTGGCAAACCCAAAGGGTCCAACGGTTTGGGGTTTAGGGTTTAGGGTTTAGGGTACCATTATAGTAGGTATTTTGGGCCCCAAAGTATATACTGTAACCATTACTTGGACCCTTTGGGAAAGGTTTACAGTTCATTAGAATACGGTTGAGGGTTTGCGGTTTAGGGTTTAGAGTTCATTAGAGTAGGGTTAGGGTTTAGGGATTAGGGTTTAGGGTTTGGAGTTCATTAGAACAAGGTTTGGGGTTCAGGGTTTAGGGTTCAGGGTTTAGGGTTTAGGGTTTAGGGCTTAAAGTTCATTAGAATAGGGCTTAGGGCGTAGAGTTCAGTAGAATATGCTAAAGAACTAGAATAGGGTTCCTTTAAAGGGGAGCCTTGAGGGGGCTCTATAATTGGGTTCTATGTTAGGGGCCTTCATAACAAGAATAGAGCCTTTCCAGACTGGAGGGCTCCACCGCTTCAAGGCTTTAAAGGGCGGGACTTGGGGCTTAGGGGAAAAGGCACATATGGTTTAGGGGCGTTCGGGCTTCTCCCGCATTTATCACAGAGTTAGGAATCTTGGGCTTAGGGCGTGGACTGGCGTTCTCGTGGAGTCTGTGTATGTGCCAAGACTTCAGAGATCTGCAGATCTGCCTACGTGCATGCGGCGTCTGCTACACAAACACACGTCTGCCGATCTATCTACCTGACTATCTATCTATCGACCTACCTGCCTATCTATCGATCTCTCTATCTATCTACCTATCTATCCTAGCATACCCTTTCTCATCTTCTCTACTCTACTCCAATGTAACCTGGCCCAACCTAACCTGATCTAAATCTCTGTCTGTCTGTCTGTCTGTCCGTCTGTCTGTCTGTCCGTCTGGCTGTGAGGATACGCACAGTATACATGCATACATACATACTTGCATACATACATGTCATTCCATTCCTTTCCATTCCATTCCGTCATTCATTCCTTCCTTCATTCATTCCTTCCTTCAGTCATGCATGCGTACATGTAGCGCCTGTATATATGCATGTATGTATGTAAGAGTGTACTTATGTATATATGTATGTATGTAAGTCAGTGAGTAAGTAGTAAGTATGTATGTATACGTATATGCATATGTATATGTATGTGTATGTGCATTTACATAACAATATGCATGCTCAAGCGGATTTGTATATGCATATATACCTGTATATGCATACGTAGATGTACATTGATGTACATGCATATGTATGTCTGTATATATATATATACACACATATTATCAATATCGATGCCAATATGCATTTATCTATGCAAGAGATCAGCTTGCGCGTCCGACAGCACCTACCTCGTCATCGAAGCTTTTCTCGCCGCCAGTGTCCGAACTTCCCTGACGGCTCCGAGAAAAGGAGTGCTTAGTCCTTACAGTTTAGGGTTTATGGCCTAGGATTTGGGGTTTAGGGTTCGGGTTCGGACTGGTTTAGGGTTTGCAGTTGAGGGCCTGGGGTTTAAAGATGAGGGTTTAGGGTGAAGGATTTGGGTGGGGAAAGGAATCCGGCTAAGGCTTAGGACTTCATGCTTACTTAAAGGATCATGGGACTTAGAAACTAGGGTTATAAATATGGTAACTATACATAACCACTTATGACCCCAATTAAGGTACTTATGACCTCACTTCCTAGGTCCCCTGATCCTACTTATCGAACCCTTATAGAAGCCCTCATAGAGACTGCGTGGGGGATTGTTCTCGACTTGGTTGCTGCTCTCCCCACCAGAGCTGTAATGAATGTAGGTGTGGCTGGCTAGCACTCTCCACAGACTGGACCCTGTCTCTCCCTCTTACTTCCACACGTGCAATCCTATGCAGGCAGAACCGGCGGCCGTTCCTTTTGCACTCACTGCCGGCGGCGGTTCGTCTGTGCAACGGGATAGCTCTGATTGCTCAGGATAGAAGACACATATAGCACTTAGCTATGGGCATTGACTTGAGCCAAACGTTGCGTTGGCGGTCACATAGAAAGGTAAAGATGAGGGATGCGTAGCATGCCCCCTTAGAGTCGAGGGACGCGTAGCGTGCCCCCTTCTCTTGCACTTTACACGGTCTTGCTCACAGCTCTTATAGTGACACCTTAGAACTTGACAAGGCATCGCAGTCCGTTCGCACCCCCCATGAGTTGCGTCTCCGACGCTGCTCACCCGGAAGATGGCACGATAGGACAACAGAAAATGTTCCGCCGCAACGTTGACATTGAAAATCAGAGCTTTGCATCCCAATTAGAAACGTTGTGACACTCATCTACGTCAGTAACGATCCCCTGAAATGACAAACGAATCAGGCGTCACCGAAGAAAGAAGCATTCGCGATGGCATTCCATGGGCGAAGCTCAGAGGTCACGAACTGATAGGCGAGGAAGACCAAGCGTTGATTCATCTCCATCTTCGCGTGGTCGCAGGATCGCGGTCCCAGGGCCGGAGGTTTTCCTCTGGATACTGTTCCCGATGCTTTCCCTTGTCCTTGCCTTTGTTTCGGCCTTTGCCGGCGGTGTAGTCGTAGTAGGAGTTGGAGTTCCAGCCTCCATGTTGCTCACCTCCGGTTCTCCCACGCCCTTTTGAAGGTCCCTTGGCCGAAGAAGCGCTTTCACGTTCCTCCGTAGTGACAGGCGTGTCCAGGATGGAAGTACCACCTGGAGGGAGATAGTCAGCGGCCGAAATGTGGTGTAGGGCTTCAGTACGCTTGGTCGTCGGGTTTTGCTGTCTCTCAGCCTTGGATCTGTTCAATCTGTCCATGAAATGCGCAGGCATTTGCACACTGTGGTCCACCAGCAAGCCGATGGTCTGGACTGACTGATCAGAATGAGTCAGCAGAATACCGACGGGGTCGATGTACAAGAAGTCCACCGGTCCAGTTGGCGTTGGTCGTAGCACTGAGAATTGTTGGTGTCCCGTCACCATTGGAATCACCTCGCACAGGACGTTCAGGCAACAAAAGTGCATAGCCTTCACATCTTCATCCCTTTCGCTCTTCAAGTAAGTAGTAGGGTTGAAGTTGTCCCTGCCAATTCCCATCATGTTGGCTCCCCGTGTAAGCAACGAAAGCATCTGGTTCGTCCGGAAGCGCTTCAAGGTGTAAGTCCCGTTGGGATCATACTGTTTGAGGTTCTCAGGCTCCTTGGCAAAGCGAATGATCTCCTCATCAGTCACATCCTTGCTCACACCCGTTTCCCTATCCACTGCCGCCAAAGATCCCCACTTTCCGAGCACATCATAGCGTTGGCCAAGTGCGAAACTTTCCCTCATCTGGAACAACGGCATAGTCGCCCACTTTGCGAATCCTGACCAAGCCTTGTAGATGGATCTGCATACCACGTATGCCATGTACGAAAGAGCGGTCATGTTCGCGTCAATGCAATGGGCATTTCGCTTTCCAGAATAGTAGGATGGCTGCATGGCGGTACGTGCAAGTTGTAGCTCAGGATCGATGTTCAAAGACTGGCCGGTAACGAAGACGGGACGACGTTCCTGTGCAATTGCTTCTGGTACTGCGTCATCAAAGTCCTCTCCTGGCTCTATGTCCATTTCTTCATCAGGTTCCTGTTCTGGATCGTCCTCCGCGATGACAGATGGTTCTGGGATTTCCTCAGGTTCCGCAACGGTCTCTACCTCCATGGCTTCCTGCTCCTCTTCGGGCGCCTCAGGCACTGCGGCTGCTGCGGCTTCCATTGTCTGAGCAATGAAGTCACTGGGGATCTCCGTAGGAGTCTCCCGTTGTGGAGAACCTTGGTAATATCCGCTCGAAACGAACTGTGACCAGCAAGACGTGCATCGGGAGAAACATGCTGGAACGATGTTGTAGCATGCCGGGCATACCCTCATTCTCCGTCCATCCTCGTCTCTGCGTAGGTCTTCGGGTCGCCAATTCTTGATGACAAACTTGATTCCTTTGTCCATGTAGTGATGCCGAACCGTGTTCTCCCTGTGGGACTCCAGGACAGTCGTGAGGTCTCGAATGATCTGCTCCTTGCTTGTGTCGTGGGGTCCAGGAGGCATCTCGCAAAGCAATTCCATGATCTTGCTTGGCGTTCGGTATCTCTCGAATTCAGGAAGCAACGGTGATGCATTGTAGTCCAACACCAGCTCTTTCTCCAACCGTTCATCGTAGATCTTTTCCACCAGAGCGAAAGAGTGTGTATCTCGAGGATCCGGGACGCAAAACCATACCTCCTTGACGAAATGGAAAGGTATCGTTCGACCAACGATCACGATGCCGCTGTCTGTGATACGTCCATCCTCTCGTGCAAGGTCCTGCGATGGGACATGAAGGACCGCCAGTGGCATGTGCTTGGCGTCTCGTCCATGTACTCGCATCTTGGTCGTTGCGTTCCGGTGATCGAACGGCGCAAACACCCCCCAATAGCTGTGGAGTCTGCCACCTTGGTTGCCTCGGAATTGGCGCCTATGGTCGAAGTCCCCGTCGGGGTCCTCCGAACCAGGCATGATGCCTTGCGTGACAATGGAATCCAAGTTGCGGCATGCCGTAGCGTGGAACGCACCTCCAAGACGTTGCAAGAGGGTCATAGATGGAGATATTGCGAACCTGTTCTTGTCCAACTGAAGCAAGTTGTTCTGGGGATCTGAGTGCGCAGAGTGACCGCTCGTAGCCCGAACTGCCCATGGCTTCACCCAGCCGTTGCACATGTTCAGGTACCTCTGGCCGTGCCGGCAATGATCGTTGTTCTGGATCTCCGTGATCTGGTCCTGAACCGATACCAACCTGTTCGAACCTGCTGATCCAAGAGTTTCCGTGCCGGGGTCCTTCACTCTCACACCCAGGAACTGCAACCGAATCTTGGCCTTGTGGCGTTTCGTGGCTGCAATCATGTTCCCTTGGAACAATAGCTGAATCTTTCATTGTACACTCTCTTCTTCTGTTGCTCATCGGTCCTTGAGACCGCTTCGGTGATGCGTCTGCTTTCATGGGTCCATAGTGGCTCATGCCTCACCAAGTCTTCGATCATCACCCACCCTCCTTCATCACATTTGATGACACTGTTGAATGCCACCTGGCACCTGTTGTCAAGCCATTCCGAGCCTGGGCGCCTGGCGATTCTGTGGCGCAGGTCAGATTGGATGCATGATAGCGCCCAATCCGCGTTCAGTCTGCGCTGACGGGTGATGTCGCGAAGGACAACTTCGTTCACGAGGTCCCATCGATTGTTGATGAAGCTTGCACCCTTGGTTGGGATCAGGTCGAGAATCCCGCACCGGATTGGCCTTCCGCCGCCGATGGATTCGTAGCCTGCATTGGTGTAGCTATGAGTGGTATCATCGTAAGCAAAGCTAGGACGGTCTCCTCGTTGAGGTAGGCGTCGGTCGCGATGGTCCGAAAGCTGCTCAATGAGGTCCACCACTCGCTGGCTATTCTCTGGTCCCGATTCCTGCAGTGGTACGCCACAAGCATCATGTAGGCCCCGACGGTTCTCCACATCCGTGCAGAGATTGTGTTTGTTCTCATAACGGATCAAGACCACATCACCCCGTACGGCTTCGCCTCCGCGTCGCGGTCGGGCTTTGGCCTTGGGTCGTCGGTCCGAGGATGCAACACTCACATGGTCTGTGGTGTCAACGTCCATTGGCTCAGCCTCTTGTGGAGGTACTCGACGTGGATATCGAAGAAGGCTTTCCTTGATAATCTGGACGCCTCGAAGTACCAGATCCCGGGTCGCAGCATTTTCTGTGCAATTGGACAGAGTGTGTAGATCACTGCCACAAGCGACACAGAACGTGAGGCGGTCGCTTCCGACCGACATTTCGCCCTGAGCGAGTACTCCCACATAGTCCTGAAGCTGCGCGACAAATCCTTCACGAATTGCATGCCTGGGATCAGGGCCTTCTGCACCTTGTTCTTCTTCGGGTTGCGCATCCACATCTACATCCTGTGCAGGTATTGGTGGAGCAACTGAGAACCCTGGATCGTCCGTGACGTTGTCAGCGGCCTGTGTCTCGTCGGTTCTCGCAATCTCTACAGGGTAGATATCACCATCGACGATCACTGTGAAATCAATCACGAGGTCAGCGGACATGTTGTTGACGATCTCAGCGACTGCTTCATTCTTCTTGGGCGGTGTCCTTTTGCGCGGGGAGTCAACCGTGATCAGCTCGATAGCTTCGGCCGACGCGTAGCGGAAGAATGATCTTTCGATTCCCCTCGCGCACGCATTTGCTCCCTCAAGGCCACCCCAATTCGGAAAATGACTTGGGTGTCTCATTGCAATTGTAAGAAGCCCGAGCGCCAGCTCCACCGTGTCGCCCAGGAGCTCTTCCTTGGGCAAGACTGACCCTCTGTAGCATTCTTGGCGCTCTTCCGGAGTCAAAAGCATTCTCATGAAACCA